TCGTTCCCGGACCTGCTGTCGGATGCGGAGAGGGGGTCTTCCAACCCACTCACTATGGCGAGTATCCAATGAGACTTGATGATGGTCAGTTATTGCCTGATGTATCTGTGATTTCCAGGGAGAGCAGTCGTTCGATTCCTTGCCGCAAGCAGGACGTCGTGATCTTCTACCAAAACGCCGGTGGAATGAATTCTGATGTTGAAGAGTACCGCCTAGCTGTATCGGATCGTTGCTACGATATTATTGTCCTGTGCGAAACGTGGCTCGATTATCGAACGCTTTCCAGTCAAGTATTCGGTCCTGACTACGAGGTCTTTCGTTGCGATCGGAATCCTAACAACAGCCGTAAATCTACTGGTGGAGGTGTCCTTGTAGCTGTCCGTAGCGGGTTGGAGGCAAAGGCCATCGAGAACGATTCATGGAACAATGTGGAGCAGGTTTGGACAGCCATCAATCTGGGTGATCGCACACTATTTCTATGCGCTCTGTACATTCCACCTGATCGAGTCCGCGACAATGAACTCATCGATACTCACTGTCGGTCAGTTTTCACAGTTGTCGAAAGTTCCACTCCAGTTGATGAGATATTCATTTTTGGTGACTTCAATCTGCCAGGCGTTTCGTGGAGTCCACCTCATAGCGGATTCCTGTATCCAGATCCTGATAGCTCTACATTTCACGCAGGAGCTATTAGCCTTCTCGACAACTACAGTGCAGCGACGCTTTCTCAAATTAACCATGTAGTTAACGAAAATGGTCGTAGTTTGGACCTCTGCTTCCTGAGCACATAGGACAGGGCTCCATCAATTTCCTCGGCTCCTTGTGCACGAACTAAGCTAGTTCCACATCACCCTCCTCTAATTGTCACTGTTGAGGACAAACTCGTGCGTGATTTCGGCGACTATACTGCTACGGTTTCTTACGACTTCCGTAGAGCTGACCACCGTAGCATCATAGATGTATTGTCTAGCATGCTATGGGAGAACATCCTTGATCCAGATGACGTTGAGGCTGCAACGCAAACCTTTTCACATGTCTTGGCATATGTCATTGACAGACACGTCCCGAAAAGAACTCACCACAAAGTGTCTCACCCTCCCTGGCAGACGAGAGAGCTACGTAGGTTGAAGTCAATCAAGAGAGCAGCATTGAGAAGATTTACGAAGTATCGCACGCTTCCTCTGAAACTACATTATGTGAGGCTGAATCACATGTACCAGCGAGTCAGTCGTGAATGCTTTTCAAGTTTCCAACGAGGCATCCAGCGCAAACTTAAGCTACACCCGAAATCCTTTTGGAACTACGTGAACGAGCAACGCAGGGAATCCGGCCTCCCATCGTCTATGGAATTCAACGGAGAAGTTGCTGCCACTGTTCAGGATATATGCCACCTTTTTTCCGAAAAGTTTGCCAGTGTATTCACTAATGAGACACTAACTGACGACGATATTAACCTGGCTGCCAGGAACGTTCCAGTAAACGATCAAACGCTGGGTGCAATTGATGTTAATGCAGAAATGATTTCTAAGGCCGCGACTCTACTCAAGTCATCCTTCAATCCTGGACCTGATGAGTTCCATCTTTATTTTTGAAGAGACATATTGCTAGCTTGTTAATTCCGCTTCTTCGCCTGTTCCGAATGTCTCTCTCAGGTGGCATATTTCCATCTTGCTGGAAATTTGCGCACATGTTTCCCGTCCACAAAAAAGGAAGGAAACGAGCTGTGGATAACTATCGAGGAATTACATCGTTAAGTGCCGTTTCGAAGCTATTCGAGCTAGTGATTATGGAACCGTTGCTGTCCCATTGCAAGCAGTATTTGAGTGCTGATCAACATGGGTTTACTGTCGGCCGCTCTACAACTACCAATCTGCTGTGTCTCACATCGTATATAAGCGAAAGCATGTCGGATCGGGTTCAAACGGACGTTATTTATTCAGACCTATCCGCAACTTTCGACAAGTTGAACCATGCTATTGCGATTGCTAAACTCCGCAGGCTCGGTGTATGCGGTAATCTTCTGAGTTGGTTTCGATCATATCTTACCGGTCGGCAACTAAAAGTTGCCATAGGAGATTGCAGATCAGCTAGCTTCTTCGCCACATCAGGTATACCTCAGGGAAGCCACATGGGACCGTTAATTTTTATACTGTACTTCAACAACGTGCATCTGGTCATCGAAGCTCCTAGGTGTGATCTTGGATTCGCAGCTTTCATTCAAGCAACACATTGCATATGTTGTTGATAAGGCGTCAAGAACTTTAGAGTTCATTTTTAGGATAGCTAAAAACTTCACTGATATCTACTGTCTAAAATCTCTCTATTGTTCGCTTGTTCGATCGACGCTACCCAAACTACAACAACGGTGCCGAGAGAATTGAATCTGTTCAACGTCGCTTTCTTCGTTTTGCGTTGCGTAGATTGCCTTGGAACGATCCGTTTCGATTACCAAGTTACGAAAGCCGTTGTCAACTTATCGACCTAGAACTTCTCCGGACTAGAAGAGACACAAACAGAGCCCTAACCGTGGCCGATATCCTACAAGGAAGGACAGATTGTGAGGCTATCCTGAGGCAAATTGACCTGAATGTTCAACCCCGACCGCTTCGCAATAACCTTATGCTAAGACTGCCTCTACGTCGCACAAATTATGGAGCGTAGATTTGCGGACTGCAGAGAACATTCAACAGAGTTCCATCTGTTTTCGACTTTCATCTCTCCCGTGATGCGCTTCGTCGAAAGTTTTCTTCTGTTTTTCGCCGGCAGGAGTTAAGATATTGACTATAAGATATAAGTTTTTCAAAGTTTTTTTTATGTTATGACCATGCTTGAAAGTATTTTTTTTACCATAGTTGATAAGGTTAAAATCATTGGGGCTTCATCCAGCCTGTTGATGTAAAACAACAATAAACAATAAACAATGCAATCATTTTCAAGAAATTAATTGCAATGCTTATATTGAACCTACTATCAGCTACTTTGAACAATTAGAAATTTAAGGCTAAAATACAGGATGCTCATTATGCTAAGTACCGTATGCGTGATAATGTTTGCTTCATTGAGAAATGTCAAAATTTAAAAAATTTCGAGTTTCCACTTGCTGCAATTACGGCCTCCGCACGCTTCCGGAATGCACGGCAGTTGCTAATAATGTAGTCTGGATCCATTTCTCTCCAGGTACGGGTCAATGTTTGTCTGCGGCTTGCTGTACTCGGGTGGGGTTTAGAACAGGCCTTGGCCTTCATGACGTGCCATATTGAGTAATCCAGCGGATTAAGATCGAGCTGGATGGCGGCCACATATCCTTTGCCCAGAACGGAAGATGTTCCTGCAACCACTTCTGAGTGCGGTTCGAGGTGTGGCACGGAGCCCCATCTTGTTGAAATACGGATGCGGTTGGTAATCATGTGAGTTTTTTCCGTGCCCTCGACTTCGCCCCGCAATCTACCTTTACGATCTTCCGTGCCGTAAAGTCACTGATACCGTGTTCCTTTGCCATTTTCCTTATTTAACGCACTGGATTCACCCGAATCTTCCTTTAGATAGCAGTGATAACCCTCGGAGGACCTGTAGCCACCTTCGCGGATAGTTGTCCTTTCTTTTCTCGGTCTAAAACACTTTTGACGGTCCACCGGGACACTCCCACGGCGATTGAAATGTCTTTTTGCGAGTTGGAGGCGAACCAGCCCAAGGCTGAAAGCCTCCTTAATAAAGCTAAATAATAATAATGTCTTTTTGCGACATTTGCGCGTGAGACAAATCACGAATACGCTGCCACTTCGTCATGGTGCAACTGTCAAACTAAGTAAATCGTTTTCTTTTATACACAGCCTACTACGGTATGAGCTATAAGTTACGTGCATGCAAAGAAAACCAAGGCATTGTATGCACAGGTGAAACGTGAACCTTATTTGTACGATGGTGCAAACATTGTCACGCATACGGTAGCACCGTAATAGAATATCGTTTAAGTAAAAAAGCAAAAACTGAGCAATTTCTGGAAAACGTTGACAATCCCCACGGATCTCTGGGTCGTTTGAAATATGTGAAACATACTTTGACAGATCGATGTCCATGTAGGGGAATTTACGTATTCTCGGCAACCTAAGCAGCGACCTTCTTTCTATAGCCTTTTTCTCTAAGGAACGCACACATATGCAGTATTGGTTTGTTTACAACCTTTTGCTGCCAGCTGCTCTAACAATTTCAGTCGAAAGAATAATTGTCAAAAATTGTTTTGAAACGCTTTTACAAAGCTCCAATCTTCTCTAGTGAGAGCGAGTATTGTCGGCAACCAGTTTTTCTTCGACAACCGTTCCATTTGAACTGCATGTAAATCTGCTGTTCTATTATCGGCAACTCAAAATCATCTACAATTTGTAGTGCGTGTGTTGCATTTCAAGAAAACCTTGCTAGATTGCTTTTTCTGAGTGGTAAAAATATAGTCAAATTGAAGCTGAAAGCATAAAGAATCGTTTGCATGCATTCAGCGAAGTGTTTTCGTAAGAAAATCCAGTGAAAATAGTGTTTCAATTTGGGTTGCCGAAAATAGTCTGTCATGCCGAAGCCGTCATTTCCCCTATAACACTTCAAAAGCAAAGAAAGTTTCAACTTTTGAGCTTCAAGTTCCACATTATTGTTATGTGATGGAACTGTTGATTAAATACCACTTCTTGATTGACTGTTTAAATTAAATTAAAATAAAATATTCAATTGAGTTCATGACACATAGCTGCACACATAGAACGTGATAAAATTATGTTTGAAAGTATTGTAGATGAAGATATGTAACTTATTGCTGGTTTCCACGAGCAACCTCTTGTAAAACAGCTAATTTTAGAAATATCGGTTGCAATGCTCGAGTTTTCGATAGATTTTACTGAAACTTTGCACAAAGCGTTAAAATACCATAAGAAATACGGATTTATCGGGGGAAAACCAATCCAAAGATATTATGAAAAAAATGGGAAACCGCATATACATGCCAATACTCAACGTACCTGTCTTCTCGGCGGTTGAACTGAACGAATCCGGTGTCATCAGATTAATGGGATGCTTCGGTTGGTTGTTACCGACACTGCCACTGCTACTGGTTGCAGCAACAGCAACCGCTACCGTCCCGTTAGAACTAGTAGCGGTAGCCACAGCGGCCACCGTCGTCGTCACCACATTCGGTGAACGCATCCTGCCCAGTTCCCCGGACTCACTCACCTTGGCGCCGATCTTATCGGAAACGTTCAATGCATTTTCTCCATCGCCGTCGCCGCCACCGCCGATACCGAGGGTCTTGTTGGCCAGTTCGGCCGCCATGCTCAGCTGATCATCCATTCTCGTGGAACCGGACGATTGCGAGGATTGGTTTATATTGCGATACTCGCCGCTGATGCTGGAAAGCGTACTATAGACCTCCGTACTGAGTGTCACGGTCGGTTGATAGAACAGGTGGCACTCCTGGACGCTTTTCGGCTGGACGAGGTACATCCGGATCACTACGCTGTATAGGGCACTGTTCTCTTCGTCGTAATCGTCCAGCTCTTCGATCAGATAGGCGTCGCTCGTTTTACACTTGCGAACTGCTGCGTTCAGGATGCCGAAGCTCAGGATTGGCGAGGGTAGCGGAAATTCGGCAACCGATGACACGAATGCCTTGGTGATAATTGAGCTGGAGCCTGCGGAGGCAGTCGAACTGACGTTCGATGCCACAGTGGAGTTATGTTCGTTGATTTTTCCTTCACTTTTGGAAAAGTTGAAACTGTCTTCCGCGGACTTTCCGTTGGTGATGGAAGGTCCATTTTCCGTGCGGAATGTTTCTTTGCGCACCTGCAGCACATACAACTCTCGGGTGGTCATATCTGCTAGGACCAGATACGACGAGGTGGGATCGATTTCCGCCTTAAAGCTGAGCGGTTGTTCGATTGAGGGAACGAATGTGATCGTCTGAGTGCACTCCCAGGTTTCACAGGACCACACCTTGATCTCGGAGTTGTTTTCCGCACAGGTAATGGCGTGTTTCCAGAGGGTTTGACTGAAAAAAAAATGATATATTAGCTACATGACTGCAAAAGGCAACTCAGGCCAGTTCACTTACTCTCCACTTTCCTCGGTGTAGTTATCCAAAAAGAAGAAACTACTGACGGGTTTTCCGCCGTGAGGCTTCCACTGATGCAGACATCGTGGGTTGCTGTCGTTGGTGTGCTGATAGACCTGGTAGAATCGTATTACCCCATCCTCACAGCTTACGGCCAGCGTCGTTCCATCGGCGGAGAATATCGCTTCGGTTATCAGGGGAAGAGTTTCTCGGAACTTGAATCCACCTTCGGAAATGTCTTTTCCGGCAACCTCACCACTGCCATGATGTCGAACCACGGAGCTGACGCTGTAGCACTGGAAGGTGCCGCCCCTGGTCCAAACCAACAGCTGACTGGCGTACTCATCCACATAGCCATTGTCCGACAGATACGGACACCAGCAAATCTTATCGCAAATTGGAATGTGAGTATCGATGGGGTCGTTCACCTTTAGTAGAAGCGTGCAGACAACTTTCTCGCTTACAATGTCTACCTTGTGCACGTGCAGGGCAACTTTTTCTATTATGCCCAGTATGACCTGCGACGAGATGTGGGCAAACTGAAGGTCGAGCACTTCGCCCGACATGCCCTTTATCAGGGCACGTTGACCGAGCGAAAGATGTACGATACGGATCATTCCTTCCGGTGCTGCTCGGTGATTCACTGCAAAACAAAGCCAGGTTCCAACAAATTCTCCACATAAAAAAAAAAAAAACCACAACACTCACCTGTAATAGCATACGCAATCAGCTTTCCCTCGTTGTGGCAGGCAATCAGTCTTCCGGGGTAGTTCTTCTGTTCCCACTTGTAGTCGACGATGTTCTTCAATTTGACCCTGGAACTTCCATGGTCATGCTTACCGCTACCGCCGATGACGGTAACATTTCGACCTCCTATGTCCAAACAGTGTTGCTTTTCGTCTTTGTTGAATACACTAAAAACAACACACAATCATTATAAAACACCTCCACCAACCACTGCCCCCCCTCAAATCTCTTACATAGTAGTCTCGGCGGTTACACTGGAACCGATCTTGCCCATCTTGTTACCGTCCATTCCGAGCAGCGTCCGAATTGCACTTCCAAGGCGACGTACCACGTAAACCGGATTGTAGTGGAAGTTCTCGCCCTTCTCCTTCTCCTCTTCCGACGACACCAGTAGCCCTCTCACGAACCGACCAAGCTGAACTGTTCCGATGAGAATGATAATTAGCATAGCATCACTGCCGCTGCCGGAAGTGTTTGTGCTTTCGTTCGAGTGGGTGGGAAAGATTGTCACGCAGCGCCGGTTCGGATACTGTTTTGATCGTGATTTCTTTTGCACACTTAACACCACGGTTGATCCTTCTAGCGTACGCCGTACAAATTATTCGAAATAGGATTTCAACAAAACTTACGGGATAAACAATGCGAGGGTGAATCCGTAAGCACTAAACCGAACTTGTTCTCCCGGGGACAATGGCAGTGTATTTACGGCGAATCAACCGGTAAACTTCACTACTAGAACCTTCGGCACACTTGCCGTGCTGTTTTCAGATGAAAAATCCAACTTTTTACCAGGTTATTAGACAAAAAGAACTTGTTTCACGGCGCGATTGTTGCACTTTCATTGAATTTTTAGCTTTTTTTCATCAACCTGCGGCGCTTCCCGCATCAAAACGTCTTTTATGCCGACAGGAATGTCAAAATGATTTCATCGAGATTTTTTATACTTTTTCATGTTTTGTCGACATAGCCAATTATGCTGGACGAGGGGTCTTGCGCTGGTGTCACAATTTGGCATAACATACACTCAAAAATATTACAAAACGAGTAAAGATTAAATTTTATGCATTGGTTAATCGAAATTTATACATTGTTACGATAAAAATTTTCGTCAAAATTATACTAATTCTGATTATCGGAGTGGAATTCGGTCAGTGAATACTAAAATTTCGTTTTTAAGTTTGTATTTATTTTGTTGTTGCTATTATTTCGCGTACTCAATACCGCACAGTGTCGTGCGTTTAGTGTTTTATATAAATACAATTACAATTATAACCACAAACGAAGTGACAGACGACTAACTGGCGAAGAAATCAATTATTAAAATAATGTGGTTCGATGCAGGGCATCACATATATTTTGAGTCTTTTCGGCATTTTTACCTGTTTGGTTTTTGAATAATAACATTCAAGAATCAGTTTGATTTTTTTTATCAAAATGATAGTAGTTTAATGCAGTAGCAGTGCCTTTTCATATAGGATTGTTTAATATTTTTTTTTATTAAATTGTCAACCTATTAGCTTCTACCTTTTAGAAATTCATCCTAAATACATCTGCACAGATTTCAGCATTGAAGAAGGAAACACCTTGCACTCAGCATGCCACGTTTATTGAGCCAGCTGTTCAGCAGGATGAACTGGACAGTTTTTAGCGGACATGTTTGCAGGTTGTCTAGCAGGTTCAAGCGGAGACCCAAAATGTATCCCAAACAAAACGCTTCCAGAACAGTTGAGTGTGTTGGATGTTGGATTGCGACAACCACACCATGTCAACGTTTGAGAGTACTGGGTACAGAAGAAAACCACGCAAAAGGATCTCTTTGAAGAAGCTGCTGTAATTTACGCCGTTCCATCGACGCAAGTATCAGTGGAACGTGATTTCAGTGCTCTGGCGTTAACGTTTTCCGATCAGCGCGATCCTTGGGTGAAAACACCCTAGAAGATTTTCTCACTGTCAAACTAAACCAACCAGTTCTTGACAAGATATTTTTAACTCAAATAATAGAAGTAATGAAAGAGTGATGTTTTAATGAACTTCAAGGCAACGTGCAATCATTTTTTAACAAGCAGAGAAATAAAATCCTAAGTAGAGTAGATGTTTGTATATGTTTTGATTTATTATTGTCATGCCGAATTCTTATATATCACCATCGTATGACATTTGACGAGTATAGTCACGTTAGCTCCGTAAATATTAATATTTTCATAGTTTTCTTGAGTTCTAAAATGTATCAAACATCCATTTCCGACTTCTACAAGCTACGCTGTTTCCGGAAATATCCATATTGTATGGTATTTGACGAGTATTTATAGTGTTCTAGCATATTGGAAGTCACCATCTTGGATTCCAGAATGGCGTCGAACATCCATTTCTGGCATCTACATTCCGCACCGGTTCCGGAAATACCCATATTTCATGATGTTTGACGAGTTTTCAAAGTTTTATAGCAAACATAGGTCGCCATCTTGGATTCCAAAATGGCGTCAAACATCCATTTCCTACATTTACATGTCACACCGGTTCCAAAAACATTCATATTGTATGGTATTTGACAAGTTTAATTGTTTGCCTAATCGTGCGGGAGTCCTTCATTTACGCGAAATCCGCGCTCCTTCATTTACGCGATTTCCAACGCTCAACCCGCGCTAATATGACTGCCGATATATAAAAAAAGATATCATCGAGATGAATCGTATCATACGTATATATTCCAAGCTCTGCTATCTCACACTGGAAAGGAAAATAATGTGTGTGCAAAATGCAGCGTAGAAAGGGCTAGTATTTTTGTTTTGATTTGAACATAGTTGATAACGCAGACATATAAGACAAATTGAAAGGAACCAGGGCTAATCACAAATTACGTACCCATGGTAACTGAAATAAACACGAGTGTTGACCGGTTGTTAACACATCCACTATTCTTCGATAATGTTGGATAAGTTAGAATTATCTATCTGTTTACTCTAATATGTTTTAGTGTATTTATGTTTACTGTCACTTTCATGATCGCGTGGTTTTCGCATTCGGTCAATCTCGAAAAAAGTAACAACATAAACCACCCTCAACTTATAATCTTCAGTTCAGCAAAACAGTTCCGTTTAGTTGATGCAGTCTTGGACCCCAAGCAGTGGCTGACGATCGGTAACTGGAAACATGACCGGAAAAGGATCCAGCAGATCCCAACAAACAATTGTCTATTGAAGAAACGACTTCTTGACGACTTTATTCCACTTCATGCTTAATAATACTTTTACTATTTTTAATAATAATTTCTGTTCAGGCTTTGTTCACCCAAATTTGGAGAATTTATTCAACCACAACATCAAAATATTTGGTGTTGACATAAGGAATGCCGAGAAGCTTTTATTCGACTTCCAAAAGTTGTAACAGAGCTTATTCGATCAAATTTTTGATTATTAAGCGTTTACTAGACATCATTACTTCCTTAAACAGCGATGGTATAAAGGTGTATATTAGACTGATGCAAATTTTGACATTTTCGCTCCACAGTGCTCAAACATTTCCAAATCGGGTCCTGATTAGTCTCCCAAAATTTGAACTCATTTGAAAAGAAACTGACTTCGCACAAACCATTTGAAGTTTATATGGAAATTACTATGGGAAAACCAAATGTTTTGTTCATATCCATCTAACAATTTACAATATAGCTCTGCTTTAAAAAATGATAACTTAGCTCGTAGAAAATTTTCTCAGCTACAACTTTGTCCTGAACCACTTTTCAATATAATGTTAGCATCAAAAGTTATCAATAATTCAAGCCCCTAATGTCTTACGAATATGCTCAATCAACTGTTCAGCAGGCAACATTGGTGTTTCTGGCGCTTGGAATAGAGCACAAAAATCATGGCTACTATGTCACACTGCAAGATACAGTGTTGCTCACAAAACAGCTGCTTGATCATGCCATAAGATTATCAATCTCTTAAACAATTAATAACTATTTTATTTGACGTTTGGCTCAACAACTACATTCAGCTAAGTTGAAGCTGAGAAAATTTTCCATAAGTATAGCTTTTGAATTTTTGAACAGTGCCATATGGAAAAAGGTAAGAAGACAATGAACAAAAAGTTTGGATTTCCCATAGTAATTTCCATATAAACTTCAAATGGTTTGTGCCAAGTCAGTTTCTTTTCAAATGAGTTCAAATTTTGGGAGACTAATCAGGACCCGATTTGGAACCGTTTGAGCACTGTGGAGCGAAAATGTCAAAATTTGCATCAGTCTAGTGTATATATATATAAGCGCTTGATTCTCATGTGAAATAATGTTTAATTACACTCAAAGATAAATTAAATCAAAAAAGCTTAAAAAGTATGCAGTTTCCCGCTTCACCTTATTGAGTCCGAGCCGTGATTACTTCGGCAGTAGTCATGCATGATTAAATTCGAAATAATCTTTCCAGTATTAAATTTTATTCTTTTTCCATACTGATATATAATCAAAAAAGATTAAAATTCAATCAAAAATTATTAAAATAGAATCAAAAATGATTAAAATTTATTCAAAAAAAGATAATCTACTATCTAATCAACCATGATTAAACTGGGATTAATATCAGATGCTTATTGTTTAGAAAGAGAGGATTAATTTTTAATCATTCGATTTGATTAAATTGAGCTTAATGTCAAATTGATTAAATTTCAAGCAAAATGGGAATAGTTCAATTTATCAGTGTAGACAGTATGTCTGTCATACATTTACCAAACGATTATTCAACTACGGAATAATTAATCCGAAAATAAGAATGGGACAGAGGTTTGGAGGCGAACCAGCCTAATGCTGAAAGCCTCCTAAATAAAGCTAAATTAATTAATTAATTAATGGGACAGAGGCATGGGGTTGTCTCGTTAGTGATTGTTCACGGATACGAATTTTATTTCATTTAAAACAAAAATATAAATGTTTATACTCTAAACATATGAATTATTCAAAGTAAATTGAAAGCATGTTTAAAACTAAAATATTTATGTTTGAATAAAATTCAAAAGCATGTTTATTTTAACAATATAAGATTTGGGTAAACGGTGCCTTTTTATTTCCTTCTTGTTACATTCGGAAAAAGTTGCCCCAGCTTTGCTCAACCAACAAGCGACAATGTATGTGCAAATTACACTTATTCAGTTTGTTATTAGATTAAACTTCTGGTTCTGAATCAGGAGGACAGTCAACGTTTATGAAGCTTTTAATAAGTAAATTAATCATATCAGAGCAAACGGCGGAATAAAGGCGCATCTATCGATCTCAATGAGCTTTTTTCAGCACATAATTCGACATCCTGTTTTATTCAGCATTGTACACTGTTATACAGCATTTATTCAATGTGTATGCTTATTTGTGACTGTGAATTGTTTGTTGGGATGCGCTTCTCAGTTCTAGAAATTAAATACCAACGTCTGAAAGAACTCATCGAGGATAGGACTAGCATTCACCCCGGGGTCAAGTTAGCCATTCTACACTCCAAAGAGTATCCGGCTTGAATACTCATCCCCTCCGTCCTCTGTATCTGGTCCATGATTGCCGTCCCATTCTCTGACCCATAGATTCCGATCGCACTAATCTACCTAAATATCACCGACAACGCCTCGAAAATCCCCTAACCACTCCCCGGTTCGCAACCCATCAGCAGCAGAAAAAGAAGCTTAACTCCGGCACTCCACTTATACCACTCCCAACCTAGATCCAAGGAAACTCCTCACCGACAGGCTTGCTGAAACTCCTCAAACTCACTAGATGTTTAAAAAAACTCTTGTCCTGCGAGTTTAGCCAGCCCCTAGGCGCCTAATACATAGGTGACACAGTGGGAAGAAGTGTTAGCATAGACGTAACTCTAAGACCAGAAGGTCCCGA